CCCATACCATCCCCGTTACATTCCTCTTCCATCCCCATACCATCCCCACGCCATTCCTGTTCCATCCCTGTTTCATCCCCATACCATCCGTGATCCATCCCTGCATCATTCCTGTTCCACCCCCTTACCATCCTCATCAAATCTGTTCCATCCCCGCACCATCCTCACCCCTCTTTCATCTCCATCCCATTCCTGCTCCATCCCCACACCACCTCCATCCCATTCCTCATCCATTCCCATATCATCCCCACACCACCCCTGTTCCATCCTCATCTCATCCCTGTTCCGTCCCCACACCATCCTCATGTCACTCCAATGCAGTGGTGCTGTGGGGAGCACAGGGCTGCATCCATAGGATTTCACAAATGAAGGCAGTCTTGAGTGGGGACACACTGTGTTGGTTTGGCTCCCCGAATCCCCAAATTTCCCCTAAAAATGAAGAGCATTAAGGGATGTGCAGAAGTTTGGCATCCCTCGAGCACAGCTCGGTTTGGTTGGGCTCTGCGTTGAGGCAGTCAGGTCCTGGGCATCCTTTGGGGCTCTTCCAGCATTTTGCCCACTCTCCATGCTGTCGCATTGCCCTTTCCATCCCAGGTTCTGCAGAAGTTGGGCAAAACCATGGAAACCAAAGACGAGCAGTTTGAGCAGAGCGCAAACAACTTCCAGCTGCAGCAGGTGGCACCAGGGAGCAGAGGGGACTGGGGGGAGAGGGTCCCTCCGTGCCGCCCCCATGTCGTCTGCATGTCATCCCTGTGACTTCCCTGTTCTATCCTCATACCATCCCCATTCCATCCTCATGCCATCCCTATGCGATCTCCATACCATCCCGATTCCGCCCCTGTTTCATCCCCATGGCATCTGCAAGTTCTCCCCCTCCATCCCTGCTCCATCTCCATGCCATCTGCATTTCATTCCCATGCCATCCGCATCCTATTCCTGTTCCACCCCCACACCACCCCCATTCCATCCCTATTCCGTTCGCACATCATGCCAGTGCCATCCCCATGCCATCCCTGTACCATCCCCATCCCATTCCTGTACCATTCCCATCCCATTCCTGTACCGTCCCCACGTCACCCCCATGCTATCCCTACTCCATCCCCATTTTATCCCAATGGCATTCCTGTACCTTCCCCATGCCATCCCTATGCCACCCCTGTTCCATTCTGGTGCAATCCCCATTTCATCTCATCCCTTCCCTGTACCATCCTCCTTCCCATCCCCATCCCACCCCACCATCACTCCAATGCAATCTCCATCCCATCCTCATTCCTCCCCAGCGCCACCCCAATTCCACCTCCTTCCCATCCCCATCTTAGTTCCTCCCCGAAGCCATTCCTGTTCCATCCCCATCCAACCCCAGTGCCACCTCCATCCCATCCCTGCTCCATCCCCACCCCAGTGCCATCCCCATGCCATCCCTGCTCCATCCCCATCCAACCCCAGTGCCACCCCCATGCCATCACTGTCCCATCCCCAACACACCCCCATCCCATTCCATCCCCCCCCCCCCCACTCCCCACACTCTCTTTGGGCTCGAGAGCATCCCCACCCCAGGGGCTCCAACCTGCCCCCTTCCCCCCCCCAATACAATTGCTTTACAGAATGAAGGCAACAAACTCTACAAAGACCTGAAGGCTCTTGTCGGCGCAGTGAAAGGTACAGAGCAATGCTCCTTTTGCACACCATGGGCAGTGAAGCACAGAGCATCCGGGGGGGGTGGAGGGGGGTTGTCAGGCCCCGTGCTGCATTTCCTCACCACACATCCCAACTTTTGCAAACCCCACCCCCCCCCATCCCTGCAGTGATGCATGAGAGCTCACGAAAAGTGACCGAAACGCTGCAGGAGATCTACAGCACCGAATGGGATGGACATGTGGAGCTGAAGGCCATCGCAGACGTGAGCACTGCTGTCCTCTGAGGGTTGGGGTCACGGGGATGAGTCCATGGGGACAGAGCCCGGCACGTCCCTGATTCCCATCCCTTTCCCTCCTGCAGAGTAACGACTTGCTGTGGGAAGACTATGAGGCGAAGCTGGGCGACCAGGCGCTGCGTCTGATGGAGAACTACCTGGCTCAGTTTGGGGACATTAAGGCACGTGGGGTGTGACTGTGTGGCATGGAGTGGCGTGGCACGTCATGGCATGGGATGGGGTGGGATGGGATGGGATGAGATGGGGTGCTGTGGTGTGGCAGGGCATGGCATGGTAAAGTGCAGTACGGCACAACACGGCGTGACGTGGCATAGTGTGGTGTAGGATGGGATGGGATGGCACAACAAGGCATAGCACAGCATGGTATGGCACGGCCTGGTGCAGCATCGCATGGCACAGCACAGCATGGTACAACAACACAGTATGGAACCGCATGGCACGGCATGTGGTTTCGGGTGACACATGGCACAGCATGACATTGTGCATCATGGCATGGCACAGCATGGTGCAGAAAGGCTCAGCATGGCCGTTGGCATGGCATGGCATGATGTGGCATAGCACAGCATGGCAAGCATAGCACAGCATAGGACAGAATTGCATGGCATGGCATGGCATGGCACAGCATGGTGTGGCATGGCACATCATGGCATAGAATTGCATGGTATGGCATGGCATAGTATGACGTGGCATAGCACAGCATGGCATAGAATTGCATGGCATGGCATGGCATGGCACAGAATGACATGGCATAGCACAGCATAGCACAGAATTGCATGGCATGGCATGGCATGGCACAGCATGACATGGCATAGCACAGCATAGCACAGAATTGCATGGCATGGCATGGCATGGCACAGCATGGCATAGAATTACATGGTATGGCACAGCATGACGTGGCATGGCACAGCATGGCACAGAATTGCATGGCATGGCATGGCACTACGTGGCATGGCATGGCATAGCACAGCATGGCACAGAATTGCATGGCATGGCACAGCATGGCATATCATGGCACAGCATGACGTGGCATAGCACAGCATGGCACAGAATTGCATGGCATGGCATGGCCCAGCACAGCATGGCACAGCACGGCACGGCACGGCACTTTTCCATCTCTCTGAGGCCTCTGCCCCACTCAGGAGCGCATCGCCAAACGCAGCCGCAAGCTGGTGGACTACGACAGCGCCCGGCACCACCTGGAAGCACTGCAGAACGCCAAGAAGAAGGACGAGGCCAAGATTGCCAAGGTGGGTACAAGCTCCTCCAGGAGAGGGCTGTGCCCCACTGACATCCCCCCTAGCCCCCATAATCGCTCCGGACCCACACAGGCTGAGGAGGAGTTCAACAGAGCGCAGGCGGTGTTTGAGGAGCTGAACCGGGAGCTGCGGGAGGAGCTGCCCGTGCTGTATGGGAGGTACTGAGCTGCCCCAACCCGCAGCCCCCTCTCCAAAATCCCCCCTGAAAAAGCTTTGCAAGCACACATGCAGCATTCCAACTTCCCCCCCCCAAAAAAAAACCAACCACCCCACTGGGATGCAGCGCTGTCCCAAACAGCCGTCCCCATTCATCCCATTTTCACCCCCCCCCCCCCATTTATCCCCTCCCCAAGGACGGGGGTCAGGAGCTGCACCCCTCCGGCCCCCTCCTCCTCGTGCCCCATTTCTCCCCACAGCCGCATTGCCTGCTACGTCACCATCTTCCAGAACATCTCCAACCTGCGTGACATCTTCTACAAAGAGATGAGCAAGGTGGGACCCCAAAGCCCCCTAAAGACACCCCCTCCCCCCCCATTCCGCTGGTTCTGCGCCGCTCTCTGGGGTTGGTGGGGATTTGCATCACCTCCAGCGCTCCGGTGCTGTTGTCAGCAACGAGCAGCGCTGCTTCACCACCAAATTTGGGGATGAAAAAAAAAGTCTTTTTATCCATTGTTTCAATGGTGGGGGGAAAAAAAATACAGGAAGAATTTTGGAGTTTTGCTTCTTCTGTGGGGATCAAATACCCCCCAAAGGGAATCAGAGAGAGGAAGGATGGGAGAAGCAATTTCCTCACAGCTGGTGCTTTCCGGCCTCCATGTGACCTCTTTTTAACCCAAATTTGCCCTTTGTGGGATGCAGCCCCACCCATGGGGGTCCCGGGGACTCTGATGAGTTTCTCTCCCCCCACACAGCTCAACCGTGACCTCTACGAAGTGATGGGGAAACTTGACAAGCAGCACTCCAGCAAAGTCTTCATCATCAAAGGTGTCTCCAGGTAATGGGGGGTCCCATGGTGCCCCAGAGCCCCCTCCCCCAAAAAGTGGGTGGATGTAACGCCCTCCTCTATTTCTTCCTGTGACCAATGGGGATGGATGAGCACCTCCTGACGTTGGGTTCTGTTGGGATGAATTGGGGCTGAGCATCTCCTGACGTTGGGTGATGAACTGGGGCTGAACACCTCCCAGTGCTGGGTGCCATAGGGCTGAATTGCAGCACCTCCTGATGTTGAGGGCTACAGGGTTGAACTGAGGCTGAGCATCTCTTGATGTTGGGCGTTAGAAGTTTGAACTGGGGCTGAGCACCTCCCAGAATTGAGTATTATAGGGATGAGAGCCTCCCAACACTGGGTGCTGTAGAGATGAGTTGGAGCTGAGCGTGTCTAGGCATTGGGTGCTGTAGGGCTGAATTGGGGCTGAGCATCTCCCAACGTTGGGTGTTACATAGGGTTGAACTGGGGCTGAGCACCTCCTGATATTGGGTGGTGGACTGGTGCTGAATGCCACCCGGTATTGGGTGTCATAGGGTTGAATTTCAGCACCCTGTGGTGTTGGGTGCTGTAGGGTTGAATTGGGGCTGAGCACCTCCCAGTGTTGGGTGCTGTAGAGATGAAATGCAGCTGAATGCGTCTAGACATTGGGTGCTACAGGGCTGAACTGGGGCTGATCATCTCCTGGTGTTGGGTGCTAGAGGGTTGAACTGGGGCTGAGCACCTCCCAGTGTTGGGTGGTGAACTGAGGCCTTTGGCTTTGGTGCCCCTCCAAGTGAATGGGATGCCTGGGGATGAATTTGGGTTGGGGATGCAATTTGGGTTGGGGACGCGGTGTCACCAAGACCCCAGGGCAGCGTCCAGCTGCATTTAGGGTCTCACGGGAGCTGAACCCAATCTGTCATCCCCCCACGCAGCAACCGCCGCTCGCTGCTCATCTCAGCCCCCGTCAGCCCCCCAGCCGTCTACCCTTGCCCGGAGAAGGCACCCAACTGGGACCCCTCATCAGGAGAAGAGCAGACACCAACGACCCCCGGGGTGGGCAGCGGTGCCACTGAAGATGTCCCCAATGGCCCCGCAGCACCGGGTCCAGCTGAGCCGGGTGCCCCCATGCCTGGACCCCCTCCAGCCTCACCCATGAGTGTGGGGTCTGCGTCAGAGTCAGAGTGCAGCCAGGAGAGTCATGAGATCGACCTCAGCCCCAAAGAGATGGAGGTGTCTGTGGGCAGTGGGTGCCCTGAATGCCCCAAAACAGAGGGGGCTGCCGGGGGGGGAGTTGAGGGCATCGCTGCATCCATGGCTTCCATGATCCTCTCCAAGGCCATCGCTGTGGCCTCCGGTGCTGCTCTGGAGGACAGCGATGGCACCGGTGGTGGGGACAGCATCGACAGTGAGCCCAGCCCCGTGGAGGGGGCAGGGGAGGGTCCACCCACCGAGGGATCAGTGGAGAGTGTGGAGGGGACAGATGTGTCCCCAGAGGTGAGCAAAGGGGAGACCTTATTGCTCTCTATAACTTCCTGAAGGGAGGTTGTAGTGAGCTGGGGGTCGGCCTCTTCTCTCGTGTCATTAGTGATAGGACCAGGGGGAATGGTTTCAAGCTACGGCAGGGGAGATTCAGGCTGAACATGAGGAAGTATTACTTTTCAGAAAGGGTGGTCAGGCACTGGAATGGATGCCCAGGGAGGTGGTGGAATCACCGACCCTGGGGGTGTTCAAGGAAAGACTGGATGTTGTGTTGAGGGACATGGTTTAGTAGGAGCTGTTGGGAATAGGTGAACGGTTGGACTGGGTGATCTTTTAGGTCTTTTCCAACCTTAGTGATTCTATGATTCTATGATTCTATGATTCAAAGCCCAGGTCACGGCACTGAGGGTGGGGTTTGGAAAGCAGAGGGGGCTGCACCCCGTGGAGGCACATGGGGTGATGCCCTGGGGTGCTCAGAGCCCCCATAGAGGAGATGGAGGGTGGGGGGGTCTGTGATTGAGCCCCAGCTTTGTGCAGGGATGGGGGTCTGGGGATAGGCCCAGTCTGATGCAAGGCAGGACACAGGGCCTGGGGGGTCCATGGATGAGCCACGGTGCAGGGACAGGGGGACGGGGGAGGCCAGGGGCGAGGGGTTGGGGGGAGATGAGCCCCAGCTGGATTCCAGGATTTGGGGATGGGGGGGTCAGGAGATGAACCCCAGCTTTATGCAAGGAGATGGAGTTTGGGGGGGGAGGGGGAGGGGACAGAGTGAGGGGATCAGGGGATGAGCCCCCCCCCCCCATGCATCGCTGCCATCCCCGCAGGTGGGGCCGGACGCAGGGCCTTGTGAGCATGGCACACCTGAACCACAGGAGCAGGACGTGAGCTGTGACCCCCCCCAGGACACCAGCGAATCCCTCACCCCACTGTGACCCCCGCTCTGTGGCCCCCACCTCCAAAGTTGTGCAGGCAGTGAAGGGGGAGCAGCTTCATGGCACTGCCTGCAGATCACTGCGCCTAACCGTAATGTGCTTCACAACACACAGTGCTGAAATGAAATAAAGGCAGAGGGCAGCGCCAGCACCTGGAAATGCACTGAGAGAAGAGGTCAGATTTTTTCAGACCACAGTTCCATCCCCAGCGCCAAATCTGGGATTTGCACTGCAGCGGGGATTGCATACAGATGGTGCATCCCATGCAAACCTTCGTGCTGCAAAGGTGCAGCTTTGGGGTGCACAACAGCTCCATTCCCAGCACCAAATCTGGGGTTTGCATTGCAGCAGGCATTGCACATTGATGGAGGACCCCACGCAAACATCTGTGCTGCAAAGGTGCAGCTTTGGGGCTCCCCACGGAGCAGCTCCTGTGGGTCTTACGGACGGGTTCACAAAGGGGATTTGTGCCCCACCTCCCTCCGGGCTCCACGTGTGTGCAACGCACTTTGCAACGCACTGCAGGCTGCCCCATCCTGCACCAGCAAAGGGTTAAGCAGGAGGAATTGCAGCTCTGTCATCATCAGGGGCAGTGGAACTGGAAAGGTGAGGCAGGAAGGGAACGCCCGGGCGAGGTCAAGGCTGCACTGCACTGCATTACGCTGCACTGCACTGCAAGGAGCAGCACATGGTGCCTGCAGCCCCACACGGCCGGCACGGGTATGGGGGAGTGGGGGGGATTTGGGGTGTGCTTCGTGCTTGGGGTGGTGAGAATGAAGGGTGGGAATGGGGTGGTGGGTATGGAGTGATGGGTGTGGGGTGGTGGGTGTTTGGTGTAGGGTGTCAGATATGGAGTGGTGGGTGTCTGGTTTTTGGGTATGGGGTGCTGGGTGGTGGGTGTTTGGTGTAGGGTGTTGGGTATGGGGCGGTGGGAAGGGGGTGATGGGTGTGGGGTGGTGGGGGTATGGTGTTGGGTATGGAGTGTTAGATGTGGGGTGGCGGGTGTGGAGTGGTGGGTGCATGGTTTTTGGGTATGGGGTGTTGGGTTTGGGGTGTTTGGTGTAGGGTGTTGGGTATGGGGCGGTGGGAATGGGGTGATGGGCATGGAGTAGTGGGGGTATGGTGTTGGAAATGGGGTCTTGGGTATGGAGCGTTAGGGATGGGGTGTTGTATATGGGGTGCTGGGTATGGGATGTTGGGTGTTTAGGGCTGTCCATGGGGTGCCAGGTATGGGGCGTTGGGTTTGGGGTGTTTGGTGTTGGGTGTCAGGTGTGGGGTGCTGGGAATGGGGTGTTGGGTGTTTAGTGTAGTGCGTGAGGTTTTGGGGATGGGGTGGTGGGCATCCAGAGCATGGAGTTTTGCTCATGGAGAAGCTCAGGTGGAACTCAGCCCTGCAGAGGGCAAAGCAAACGCTGAGTCAGGAGAGGGGGGAATCCCACGAGACGGAGCAGAAGGCAGTGGGGCCGAGGGCCCATCCCCTGGGTTTGGGGGTGGGATGGTGCCACGCATCCCCTGCGTTGAGTTTTTGGGACGGCTGCACTGCAGGAACCACTCGAGGGCTCCAGGGAGGTTACAGGGACTAAAGAGCAACGCCGCATCTGTAACAAACCCTCACCCAGAGAGCCCTCCCCCAACCCCCTTTGCACCCAGCAGTGCAAACAAGAGAGCGTTTCCCATCCCGTGAGCACTCCCAGCTCTACAGCTCATTCCCTGCAGTCACAGCCCCACACCTCTGCCCCACGCGGTGCTCAGCGCAGAGCCGTGCAGCGCCTGCAGGACCGGCTGCCTTGTGCCCCACAAACTGGTTTAGCACTGGTTTGTCTCCATCTGGACCGGCTGGTGCTGTGCTGCAGCCTGGGGGGGGTCCTGGAAAAATAGGGTTTGGCTGCTGGGAATGGGAATGAGAATGGGAATGGAGTGGGAATGGGAACGAAGTGGGAATGTTGTGTGCACGCAGTGGGGCAGGGGCTGAGGGAATGGGAATGAAAATGGGAATGGAATGGGAATGGGAATGCAGCAGGGATGTTATGTGCACAGTGGGATGGGCTGATGGATTGGGAATGGAGCAGGCATGGAGCATACGTGCAGTGGGGCAGGGGCTGAGGGAATGGGAATGGAATGGGAATGGGAATGGGAATGGGAATGGGAATGGGAATGGGAATGGGGTGGGCACAGGGCCTGCACACAGTGGGGTAGGGGCTGAGGGAATTGGAAGAGAAATTGGAATGGGAATGGGGTGAAAATGTTTTGTGCACACAGTGGGGCAAGAGCTGAGAGTATGAGAATGGGGAGGGAATGGGAATGGGAATGGGAATGGGAATGGGAATGGGAATGGGAA